ATGGCCAGGTGGTACTTTCATTGCCCAGTGTAGCGGGACCATTGTTGAAATCTCCTGATGGAAGCACTCTTCCCTTTTGGGACTAAGGTCTCTAAATAAGCAGCAAAATTCCCAGGTAAGGAAGGAAAAATTCTGAGGTTATTAAGTGATGTCGTAAGAAGAGTCACTCTCACTGCCACACTTGAATTCAAATTATGTTGGCTACAGGAAAGACAACACCATATAATTGTCTCTGTTTCAAAGCCTATCATTTAGGAAAGAATCCCATTTTCCAAGGAATTGTCTCCCAGCTGGGACCATAACTGAGTCTTCAGTAAGTCATTTCACCATTCAGTTAAGCCAGCTGCTTCCAAGTGGTGGTGTACGTGGTAAGCCCAGTTAATTTTACAGGCATAAACTCACTGCTGCATTTCCTTTGCTGTGAAATGAGTTCCCTGATCAGATGCAAGGTTGAGCAGAATGTACTGATAATAGATAAAGCAGTTTATTAGTTCACATATAGTGTTGCTGGCAGAAGTATTATGAGCAGAAAAGGCAAATCCATTTCCAGAATATGTGATTATTCCAATGAGGACAAATCTTTGTTCCCTCCATAATGGAAGAGGTCCAATGTAATCAACCTGCCACCAGATGGCTGGCTCATCGCCCCTGGGAATGGTGCCATATTAGGAACTCAGTGTTATTCTCTACTCTTGGCATACTAAGCAGCTGGTGGTAATGCTGGCAAGGTGAGCCTTGGTAAGGGGAAGTCCAAGTTGTCGAGCACATGTATGGCCTCCATTCCTACCTCCAGGGCCACTTCGTTCATGAGCCCATTGAGTAAGCACTGGGGTGGCTGTGCAAAGCTGCTGACTGATACCCTCACAGAGCCATTTTGTCTGCCCGAATACTAAGGGTGTCCTCTGCAATGCACACATTTATTGTGCATTCAGATAGTGCACAGATAGCTTCAAAGTTTTTGTCTGTTAGAAGGAAATTTTCTCAGATCAATTACATTTAATAGACTTTTTCGGCAAATAAAAGCAAAACAAAAACAATTCATGAATCAGACAGCTCTCAGAACCAGAAGAGTGTCTAAGAACTCCCACCAACAACACGATAAGGCACATTTATTAGAAATGGCAGTGAAAGATAGAGATAACTTACTTAGTTACAGCTTAGCTGGTTAATTGGTTACAGAGCCTCCTGACATTAATCAAAGCTCCAGGATTCTGGTTAAATTCTATATTGGTTTGGCCAGTTAGGCCCACTGCAGGAACCAGTTCAAGTCAATAGCCTCCTATAAGTAAGTACATCTATATACATCTTTCCCATACTACTTTGTCACCAATTTTCCAATCTCATTTCTTCCAAGTTCCTAATCATTTAGAACAACCATTAGTGATTGTGCATTCTGGTCCTCCCTCACTCTAGACATACTGGACAGATGTTTTACTTGAATTGTACTCACTTGTGGGAGTTTCCTTAAACAGTGTCCTGAAGACCCCTGAATAGGACTAGAAAAGCCACCTGTGCTGCAGAAAGTAGATTCTAGAGAGGAGGAGCCTGTTGGGGAGCATGCAAGAACCAGAAGGCAAACCTGTGTCTATTTCAGTGTCTCTCTCGGCATTTTCTACCAACAGAACTTAACATTATGAGAGCTAGCAACAGAAGACTATTTAGAGGGTCTATTTCCATCTCTACCATGCAGGCATATAGAATAAATCTGGAACTAAGAAGCAAGAAATCAATTCCAGCACAGGTACTACACAGCTTGGTCCAAAAATGATCTGTCAATCACTGAGGCTATTGCAGCTCCCATTTGCAACCTTATCAGGATGGGGTTGGGCAGAAGGGAGAAGTGATTCTGCAAAATAACGAGAAAGAGCACTTTTTTTCCAAAGAAGAGAGGAGTTCTGGGCTAACAAAACAGAACTGTTTCCTATTACATCAGCTTTTGACTGCTCAGAGCATCATGCATGATCACACACATAGACACACACACACACACACACAGACATACACACCCCAAGACAGAGTCTTTCCCATATCTATGCTCTTCTTAAAGTAAATGAACTATTCCATACGCACCTGAAAATTGCCCACTCTTTCCTCCCGTGGGAGGAAAAGAACTCAGTCATATCTACCTACTGAATTCAATCCCAAATTCAGGATCTGTGAGTGTTGTCAATCTTAATTAGGTCCAGATATGGCTAAATGGTGACCAGTGAATTCACCCTAAATTTACAAATATATGAGAAAGGAAGGGAGAATGGAATAACAAAAGCTAACATCCAAAGGCAAAAAACGAAAAGCAATGCACAATGGTTGTGAACCTATAGCACATCTTGTTGAACTAAAGTAACAGGAGTAAGGACTTCACCTTTCCATCACAATCTTTGGTTAGTCAATCAAAGTGCTAAGATTGCCCTTGTCTCAAAGATCCTGCCTTAGATGTATAGTGAGAAGGAATCTCCTAAAACTGTCCTAGAAACTTAATTCATCATTTTATCAGGCCTGAAGCTTCGGTCACTGCTTTTGAGATAGCATGACAAGTAGCTACCTTCCACTGAGCTGAAGACATTCTGGCAAAATATTAAACCTTTACTTGGCTGTCAGTCAATGTCATTTGGGGAAATCCATTCACTTGTTATCAGAAACCTCACTGAGACATGAGCTTTGAATATGGACCCTGCCCTTCCTCTTTCTATCTCTTGGAAACTTGCCTGGCAACTCTGTGATTCTCCCTAGACCTTAGTTCAATGGCTTTGGTCACACTCTGTCTGAGGGGGTGCAGAGAACAGGCTGGGGTTATGAAGCCAGGATATAGGGTCAGATTCTATCCCCTAAGTTATGCACCGCTCAACTGGCATACTAAACGGAATTATCTATTGGGTGAGGGGACATGGTAGGAGATATTTGAGATGAGTCCTGAGGAATGAGGCATCCCTGGCTAGACTGTTCTCCTGGGTCTCCACATTTGTAGTGCATGTTGTGCGAGGTGAAAACTTCAGTATTTCAAATGGCAGAGTAGGTATTATCTGATCCTTACCCAGCACAAGAGAACTACTTCACTGACAGAAAGGGCTCCTCTTTAACAACGCTGTGTAACCCCACCCCTGCCAGTCGCAGTTAGAAAGGCCACACTGAACTTCAGTTTGCCTCTCTTACGGCACTAAAGGAGAAGAGAAGTAGTCAACACATTTCAATAGCTTCGTGTGTTATTATTATTTTTTTGGCCAGGTCTTCTAATGATGGAGCCCTATTAGGCATAATAATTAATCTATCAGTGTCTCTGAAAACCCCTGTGGTAAAGGATCCATTTTTGTGTTGATGTTTTTAGTTACCCACACAAAGCAGACAAATGCTTTCTGAGTACAAAACTGCATGAGTAGATGTCACTCTGATGTCAAATTACTAAAAGTTTCTAGATGTTCCTTTCAGGTTCCATACTTATTTCATGGCTGACCAGCACGACTCACAGACTGGCTTTGGTCTGTATATCATTTTCTCAGTAGCGCTGATCTAACTAACAAAGCTTACTATTTTTCCAGCCCAGGATGGATGGCCTGCTTATTGTTCATGCCCCACCTTGATTAAGTCAGGTGGGGTCAGACAATTACAATTTCCCATAAATCAAGAGCCTCAATACAGAACACAGACTGCATATTTAACTTACAATGCATTGTCTCCCGCTTAGCACCTGAATAATGGGGCACATTGTAAGAGCAGTGAAGCCCATGGACTTTTTATCTCATTGTTTCATTTCTTCCACCCTGAAGTGAATTCCTGGGTCGGGAGGAATGGTGTATGGGATAATATGCTAGCAGGTGAACATACAGTATGTCCATGCAATATTCACACAGAATGATGTTTGCAATTCCATTGTGTAGAACTAGCATAGAGAGGCAAACTGTTGACTGATCCATGACAGAAGGGAGACCAAAGGAATTGACCAGGCTGGTTCCAGGCACCTTGCTGGTCCCCTTGAAAGAGAGCTGCTGTAAAATTACACTGTTGCTCTAACATTGACTTTTCAGCAGTGGCAGCTGAAATGCCCTGGACAAGGGCATTCCCTGTGTCATTTCCTTGGTCAATCTGACCGTATTATTCTTCAGTTTGTCTCACTTTCCCCAGAACTTTGAAGAAAATCTAAACCTCTATGGTGTATAAGGCACTGAAGATTCAGCGTCTTCATTTCCCTCCAACTTCACTTGCCTCTTTGCCTTGCTGTGCTCCAGGAAGCCCCAGAACACCCCAGTTCACCATGCGCTCTGCACGTCCTGTTCCTTCAGACCAGAACACACTGTGTAGCTCTCTCCCGCTCCCAGCCCCATTAGAAATCAGCTGAAATGTTACCTCCCAAAAGCCCTCTCGTCACTAATTCAGACATGTCTAACTCACGTCTTGTTTCCTGCACTACACCTGTCACATGTTATGTTTGTAATTAGTATTAAGCTAGTACAGAAACTAAAATGAATTTCGTCAGCCCACATCCTAGGACCAAATGCTCAAACATGTTTCTGAACTCTCCGGAGGCAAGCAAAAGATCAAGAGGCATCTTTGGAGACGGCACATAGTGAAATGCTCAAATGGCTGTAGGCTCCCCATCCTCTGGAATCCAGCCTGTCCCTTGTCTCTCAAATGAACAGTGGCATTTTCATTTTTCACCCTCGAATCAGACACCAGATATCTACGAACTCGCTCCGTGCGTGGCCTTCTAATTATAAAACCTTCCCTTGGCCTCCACCGGGGCGAGATGCCTGGATCGCAGGTGAGCTCCGGAGCACCGGCTCGCGCCGGCCGGAGCCCGAAGTCCGGAGGGCGCGGCGGGCTGCGCGCGGCGCTGCTGAGGCCGTTAAGCGAGCGACTCCGATTCCCGCGGGCCGTGCCGCTCAAGCCACCACCCCCGAGGGGCCCCGAGGGCACACACTCCGGCGCGGCGGTTCCAACTGGCGAGTGTGTGCCTTCGGGGCCCCCGGCCACCTCGGGCGCAGAGTCTCGGAGGGGGTCTCAGGCCCCGGACGCCCGGCTTCCATGTGAGCGCCCTCCCGCTCGGGTGGGCCTGCGCTGCCGCTTCTGCCCGGCGCCCGGGTCCTGGCTGCGGCCGCCCGCTCCACCTCCGCCGGGTCCCTGGATCCGGCTGCCGGGCGCAGGAGCCTCCGTAAGCACTCCCGGCCCCCTCGAGGGAGAGTCCTGACGGCCAACCCAGGCTGAGTAAGGGATAAGGCAGGGACGGGCGACCGAAGCGACGCGAGTCCCTGCCCTTTGCGTTCGTCTGCCCCTCTGCCCTCCTCTGGCTCCGAGAGGCAGGAGTCCAGCTCCTCTCCAGGAGACCCATGGCCACATCGTAAATGAGCGCGTCTACTTTGGGGAGCGAAGCAGGTTTTTTTTTTTCCCCTCCGACAGAAAATGTCTCGTTTAGCCGTTAAGGAATATCGTTACCAGTTACAGGAGGACCTTTTGTATAAATTGGATGGGTTAATGAGAAAGTTCTAAGGTCTAGTTCTTAAAAACTCCATTTATAGCATCCCGTACACCAGACATTACGTATACATGTTTATAAAAATATACAAGGGATACGTAGTTGTTTTTTTTTTTTTTTCCCACAACCTTCTCAAGTATTTCTCGAGAAAGTCTAGCCCAATGCCCTTTGACCCGCCCGTCTCTCGCTCGCCTCGCCATACCAGCGGGCGGGAAGGGCCCGCCTGCGGCGGACCAGGAAAGAGGAAGGAAGAGTAAGGGCAAGGGAGGGGGAAAGTGACGGGAGCAGCGAGAGCCGGAAATGAGCGGCTAGCGAGGAACCCAGGAGCGCCCTGTCTGGCGGCGCTCTAGCCGACGCGCGCCATCTCGATGCTCTCCCGCGTCTGGTCTATTTATTGTCGCCGGGAAGCAGCGGCCGCGCCGTACCCGGAACAACAAAGCACGAAAGACGGAGCCTGAGCCTCGGGGGCTCCTAGCAACAGACCGGGGCGGGAGTTCCATGGAGACTGGGGAGCGTGCCCGCCTCATCATCATCCTTGTCCTCCAGCTTCTCCTCCGCGTCCGACGCAACCGGCAGCAGCGCTGCCGCCGCGTCCTCTACGGCCGTCCCGTCTTCCCACGGTAACCCCGGAGGCGACCCTGGGCGGGGGGGAACGCGGGCAGCGGAGCGGCCAGAGTGCGGGGTGCGCCGCGTCGGGGCGCCGGCAGGCGTGTGCGGCGCTGGGGCAGGGCTGCGGTGGGGTGTGCGGGGGCGGGCGACCGGCGGACCGGGGCTGAGGTGGGCGAGACGGGTCCATTTCCGCGGAGGACGCGGGGAGGGGGGTTCTGGGCATCTCGTTAGGGTAACGGGGTGGGGGTGGGGCGTCCCTGCTGGGGAGCCTTGTGCAGCCGGGTGTGTAGGAGCGGAACGCAGGGGTTTGTTTTTCTTGCGAGCCACCGCAGGGAACGGCGGGGAAGGCAGCTTCCCCGTCTGTGTGTGTGTGGAGCCCTCCCCGAGGGGAAGGAGGACCCTGCAAAGATGTTAGGGGTCCCTTGCTTCCCAGGAAACTTCCCGCGGCCTCTCTGCAGCGGCGGGAAAGCTCCCAAATAGCGGCTTCGTCGGTTCCTGGGTCCGGCGATGCCAGCCAGCTGCGCTTTATTTTATTAGCGTTATTTTTAACCAGAATTAGGGTTGATGAAAAGGGATCTGGAGCCGAGGAGGCGAACGTGAATTGTGGGTAGAGATGAGAGTAGGGCTAAGTGCTTAGTAATAGCCGGTAAGAGCCCTAAAAGTGCGAGCCGAATAGGGAATGGCGGTTTTTAAATCTCTCGTGCCGAGATGTGCATCTGCAGGCTGTGTCAGTGAGCTGGTGGCTGTGAGGCTGGAGCTGCAGCCAGTCCACATCTGTGAGCTCTCCGGCTGCATCTGTCACCTGCAGTTCCAGAGCGACACTGGCAGTAGCTGGCGTGAGCTTGTATGGATTGAGGGGTTAGAACAGTGCCTCACAGATGTGACTCAAGAACAGAGAACAAGTTTGGTGTGATTTTGTGGGTGTGAAGAAGCAATGACACCCCTGGGGAAAATTGAAAGAAATAGAAGGAGAAGGTTCAGCCATCCTCTGTGAAAGTTTGCTAGCACTCTCTCATTGAATCACTGTTTGGTATGTCCAGCTAAGGAGGCATCGTTTTGTGCTTTTTCATGAAGTGTTCTATCACAAGCCATTAATGGTTTTGTTCTGTCCAAAACCATCTTAAATCAGTAAGAGATTTTCTGGTGGCTTCCCGAAAAAGTAAGATAGACAACTACCAGAATACCATCTTTGTGGCATATGGGAACAAAACTCTTTTATTTTTAAGTTGAAGACTAAAGGTGAAAATAACTTAGTTGTGCCCCCCACCTTGTTTGCTAAGTCTGACTTCTCTTAAAAGGTACCATCCTTGTCCTGTTCTCTGTTTTCAATGGATGTTAGAAACTGAACTAATGACTTTAAGAGATCGAGATCGTCGGGCTGATTCTTGAGTCCATCAAGCCAGAATACAGAATTTTTAACTTAACACATTTTCATTTCAAACTGACACTCTGGAATTGAGGTCCACTGTCTCTTGTTAAGGAGTTTCATATGTATGCAGAGCAAGAGTTTGTACATTGGTAAACTTACATTGCCTTGTAAAGACTCGAAGAAAAGGGCAGTGTTGCCATCTTTAATCGATCTAGGGCTGTTTCTTAATCTTTTCACTTAGCTGTTCTTCTGAGAAGGGCTTCTTGGGATGACTCCAGGTGAGGCCGTGGTGCTTGGATCCCTGGGTTTTCATGATGTGCACATGAGACTTCGTGAACTCCTTTACCCCCTGGCCACGTCACACTGACTTCTCCTGACCTTGATTGCTATTGGTTCTGTACCTTCCCAGTTTGGGTAGGACTCTGACTTCACTAACGGTTCAGTTTGTGCTTTCCATGCTCTGGGCCCCAGCACTCCAACCTTTGCTTTTGCCTTAGTTCTCCTTACTTGTGTGGCCAATCAAAAATGATTTTTTTATGCTGTATCATTTCTATTTCTTAGGGAGTTTTCAATGTATGTTCTTGGCCTATGTGTACCTTTCATTAACGTTACTTTGTCTGTTGGATTTTCCTTTCATATCCCTTCCTTGGTATTTGGAGAATTGGTGCGGTCATGTCAGGTACATTCTGAGTAACTGTTGTGAATACAGTAGGTTAACAGCCTTATGTCAAGATTCAAGATTGTATTAAAATAAGGCATGTGAAAATATTTGAACTTTTCCAAATGGTTTTTTAGAAGTATGCTGGTAATGCTGTAATTGTAGACACACTTTTTGAAAAGTAAGTGTATCGTAGAGCCTGCTGTGTGTTTTTAATTGAACCTTAGGTTTTCATAATTCTTGTTCTAAAACAGTGATTCTTAACATCAGCCTTTTCTGATCGTTTTTAATTTGCATATTTGACTGAAATTACATTTTGCCAGATTTGAGGAAACTAAAGTGAATTCCGCAAGTTTTTCTTCACATGGAAAATTGTCACATGTAGACGAACACAAATATGTAGAATTTGCTATAAAGTATAACAAATGCCTATGAAATATACAGCTGAATACTTTTGAAGAAAGTTATTTCTTATGGATGTGGCACGTTATTTAAAATCAGCAGGTACTGTATAATCTGGTGCTGAGTACTGTTTTGCAATAAAGGATAAGCTGGTGATGGGTTTCTTTTTATTGCATCATAGGTCATGTGATGAAATTATTGCCATGAAAAACAAAATTTAAATCAGTTTTAGAAAAATGTATAGTTGTATAGTTAAATCTTGCCATGAATCAAAACCTATAGTGCTTTGAAAATTTAGCTGCATTGTGACAGTAAACTAATTAACGTTTTCTTGGAATTTATACTATCTTGCTATACCTTTCATATGCCTGATTCCGCATCAGATATGCAAAGTTGGATGAAAGAGGTATTTCCCTTCAGGTGCTTTTTTAGAAAAATGTTCTAAAAGTGTGTGTATGCTTTGTTTTTATTTTTCACGTGTTTGAAAGGTGGAGAGAGAAGAGAAAGCTCAAGAGAGAGAGAACGAACAGAAGTCTCCCATCTCATCGTTCACTCCCCAGATGCTGGCAACAGCCAGGGCTGGGCCAGGCTGAAGCCAAAAGCCCAGAACTATATGGGTCTCCTGCATGGATAGCAGGGGCCCAAGCACTTGAGCCATCATCCTGCTGCATCCTCAATTAGCAGGATTTATTAACAGGGAGCTGGATTGGAAGTGGGAAATAGCTGGGACTCAAACCAGTACTCTGATAGGGGATGTTGGCTTCGAAAGCATTAGCTTAACCCCCTCCCATTTAGGTGCTTTTTATGAACTTGTAAATAGAAGAGAAATTCCATACATGGGGAAGAAAGCATGAGACACAAATTTGAATTTTGATCCTTTATTACGTACTGCCTGGTACTTGTTATTGGGGTGTGGATTTCATCATGCCTGTAAATTAGAAATGCCTTGAGGATCTGGACTCTGAGTCAGCATTGTGCTGTATGTGTATGTTTGAAAATGTGTTACTAGAAGGACATATGTTTATTTCACTTAAGATGCTTACCTAATATGAAAGAACCTTTTTGAAATCTTTAACTCTTGATGCTTAAAATTTCAATTTTTTATCCTGCCTGTAGGGATGAAAGATAAAAGTAGCAAAAATTTCTCACAGATGGTTAGTGCTTTGTTTCAGTTGATGCAAACAATAAAAGTAAAAGCTGACTGCCCTGGTAGGTACAGGATTTGCTCTTATCACATGACTGTCACTTTGGGATATTTCAGAAGGTAAGAGACTATATGCATATCTGAGGGATTTTAAGGCCACCTAGACAAATTTGATTTTTGTATTAGGACAGCCTTTTGTAAGGAGGAGAGATGGAGTATGTGTAGTTTGCACAGTTAGGAAAAAGCAGGATTCCGTAAGTATGTCATTAGTGGAAAGGAATCAGGTCACCTCAGAAATTCTACTCATTTGGTCTTAGGAAAGGGCAATAAAATTGAGAATGTGGTATTGTCCTGGGAAGTATGCTGCTAGGGATCCCATTAAATGTTTAAAAAAAAAAAAAAAAAGTGATTTCTGGGGCAATTCAGATCTGCCCTCACAGGGAAGTCCAGAATGAAAATGTTAATTTTTTTTTTTTTTTGGACAGGCACAGTGGACAGTGAGAGAGAAAGAAAGGTCTTCCTTTTCCGTTGGTTCACCCCCAATGGCCGCTGCGGCCAGTGCGCTTCGGCCAGTGCGCCGCGCTGATCTGAAGCCAGGAGCCAGGTGCTTCTCCTGGTCTCCCATGTGGGTGCAGGGCCCAAGCACTTGGGCCATCCTCCACTGCCTTCCCGGACCACAGCAGAGAGCTGGACTGGAAGAGGAGCAACCGGGACAGAATCCGGTGTCCCAGCCGGGACTAGAACCCGGGGTGCTGGCGCCACAAGTGGAGGATTAGCCTGTTGAGCTGCAGTGCTGGACGAAAATGTTAAATTTTCACCAAAAAGGAATGGGGGTTTAACCTAGCAGTTGAGGTGCCTGCATCCAGTATTGGAATGTCCTGCTTCCACTGTTTAAGGCCAGCTTCCTGCTAATGGAGAGGAGGTTATTAGTCTTGATAACTGGTGAGAGACCGGGATTGAGTTCTCAGCTCTCAGCTTTGGCCTGACCCAATCCTGGCCTTTGTGGGCATTTGGGGACTGAGCCAGCAAATGGAAACAATTTCGTTCTCTCTTTTTCTCCCACACCCCCCATCTCTCTACCTCTCAAATTATTTATTTATTTCACAAAAAAAGTAGCACTGGGGCTGACATTGTGGCATGGCAGGTAAAGCCGCTGGCTGCTTCACTTCTGATCCAGCTCCCTGCTAATAGCCTGGGAAAGCAGCAGAAGGTGCCCAAGGTGGTTGGACTCCTGAACCCATATGAGAGACCCAGAAGAGGCTCCTGGCTTTGGTCAGGCCCAGCTCTGGCCATTGTGGCCATTTGGAGAGTGAACCAGCGGATGGAAGCTTTCTTTCTCTCCCTGCCTCTTTCTCTCTGTAACTCCGCCTTTCAAATAAATAAATCTTTAAAAAAAAAAAAAGTAGCACTCAAGTTTGGCTGCTGGTTACTTTTACCA